AATGCAACGAAGAAAAAAAACCCTAATAAAAATAATCAAATTATCCTTCCTATAAAGTGAGAAAAAAGAAAGGAGATGGTGTTTTCTCTTTTTAAAAAATACCTAGAAGGAGCTCACATGCTACAGTGTCTTTTGGGTAAGAGAATGGCTGAGAGCTGGCACACCAAGGCACCTTCCCCAGCTTGCTCACGGTGACAGCCAGTAAAAGCAGGTCACCAGTGCCCTGGCTCTGTCTTCTCAGCACCCAGCCTGCACACCAAGGGCACTGTCACGAGAAGAGCTCCTTTTGCCACCACATCCTGCCCACAGATGGGACGTTTCTCAGCTGGAGGCTCTTTGGGAGATTCTTGCCACATGCTGTTTCCTACTGATTAAACTGGGGGGTCTACCTCAAAGCCTGCAAAGATGCTGGCAGACCACGTTCAATCCCATTTCAGCAATGAAAGGTCTGAGAGAAATAAAACTATCACTGTAGGTACCTGGAAAATGAAGCCTTATTAAGCCTGGCCACCTGACTTCTGAATTGCATGAAAGATTAATACTGAAATTGTTGAAAAAAAGCTTCAGTTTTGTGCTCAGTGTAACAAAAGAGTAAGTCTGGCCAGGTACTCTTGGAGAGCACAAGATCTCTGGCTCAAAGTGTCTGCTTTACAGGTGCCTCACATTTCCCAAGGGAAAACAGGACAGAAGTGAACACAAATTGGAACCCCGGGGTTTCCACCTGAGCAGGAGGAGAAACTTGTTTGCTGTGAGGGTGGCTGAGCCTGGAGCAGCTGCCCAGAGAGGCTGTGGAGTCTCCTGCTCTGGAGAGATCCCAAACCCTCCTGGCTGTGACCCTGGGCACCCTGCTATGGGTGACCTGCTGGAAGAGAGGGGTTGGACAAGTGGATCTCCAGAGGCCCCTTCCAACCCTTACCATGTGGGATTCTGTGAAACCTGCATCCATCTGGCACCCCAGCAGTAAGAGAGCCCCTTCCCCTCCCATTGGCTCTCATTTCTCATTCCTACAGGTGACTGCCAGGATGGAGGCCAGGGATGCTGGCTGGCTGGCAGAAGACCTGGACCAGGCACAGCTATGGTGTGGCACTCTGGCACATCCCAGCTCAGGGCATTTCCATCCCCACCGAGAGGGCTGCTCAGCGCTCTACAAGGGGTGATTACAGATCTGTGGGCACAGGACCACCACTGCAGCACCACCTCTCCAAGGGACTATGATTCTGTAGAACTGTAGCATCATTTAGGTTGGAAAAGGCCTTTAAGATCATCAAGCCCAACCATTAACCAAGTTCGGCCAGGATACCACTAAACCAAGTCCCTCAGCTCCACAGCTTTGAAACCCCTCCAGGGATGGGGACTCCACCACTGCCCTGGGCAGCCTGGTCAAGGGCTTGACAACCTTTTCAGAGAAGACATTTTTCCTAGTATCCAACCTAAACCTCTCCTGGCATAACTTGAGGTCTTTTCCTTCTGTCTTTTTTCCCTGGGAGCAGAGCCCGACCCCCCCCCCTGGCTCCAGGCTCCTGTCAGGAGCTGTGCAGAGCCAGAAGGTCTCCCCTGAGCCTCCTTTGCTCCAGGCTCAGCACCCCCAGCTCCCTCAGCTGCTCCTCCCCACACTTGGGCTCTAGACCCTTCCCCAGCAGCTCCGTTGCCCTTCTCTGGCCACACTCCAGCCCATCAAGGTCCTTTGTGTAGTGGCTGCCCAAAACTGTACCCAGACCCACAAGGATGAAATCCATCTCACTCCTCCCAGCGTTTCAGGAGGTCTGCCAGGACGGAGCCCAGCGCGGCAGAGGCCGGTGCCCTGGTCTGTGCTGGTGGCACCACGGGCCTGGCACAGCAGCCCACGCACTGTGCGGTCTTCTACCACCTTAGATGTAATCACACCTCAAGAGATGCCAAAACCTGCTGTAACCAGGCCATTCGTACAGGCACGGAGTTTACGCAGAGAGAACATCTTCAAGTGCTTTCTAACAACACTGGCAGGACTCTGGGTACCCGGGCAGCCAGCGCCGCGTGCGGTGCCAGCGAGAGCCGGAGCCCCACGCGCTGGCCACGGCAGCCTCCGGCTGTGCGAACGTTACGTCAGCAGATAAACTGTGCGTGGCTTGTTATGGAATAAAATGCTCCTGTTTGCCTTTTCCAAGATAAACTTACACTGGGGAGGAGGGGGAGAAGTGAGATGCAAACACGGCTGTGCCTGGGAACATGAACCAAACCTGTCCATCTCCTCAGTGCCCCGGAGGGGGGGACGGTTTTACTGCTAGAGATGTAGCATCCAGCCTCTCAGCCCACATCACCCACTGCCGTGTTTTGGCGTTCAGACAGACAAAGCCAAACCTCAAATCCAAATTCAGAGCGCTGGAAAATCCAGAGCAAGAAGGTGGAGAAGGAGACAAGGACCATAGCCCGGGACTTATGCTGAGCAGTGGGTGCCAGCAGACCCTGGTCTTGTGCTTCACAGGAACACGTCTTTAACCTTGTGAATCCAGGATAGAGACAGGCACGCCCAGAGAGACAGGCTAAGATTCCTGTGCTAAAAGCAGTCCCATGACACTCATCCCTAAGCCTTCTCTACCTCTTTTCCCTGATCTTTTCCCTAGCAGAGGAAAATTTCTGCTTTATCTCCCAGTGTTCTTCCAAGATATTTCCAAGCACTGAGGAAAAAGAGGGAAACTGCACACAAGTCCAAGTGATAGAAATACCCACTGCTCTATCTGTTACATTAGCATCAGGATCAGCTCACTCATTTTTTTCATTTTTTTTTCACTCAGTTTCTACTTTTAAGAACAAAACAAACATCACCCCAATTTTGAGCAGAGATAACTCCAGAAAAATCTGCTGTCACTGTAGCACTGCTGAATCTGATTTTTGTCTCCCCCGGCCCAGTAGATCCTCTCTCTTCTGCCCTCCCTCATAATGTACATGCCTTCATTTTTCTGCTGCCATGTAGCAATTCAGAATCTGCAGGACAAACCACTGCAAAAAGACTCCTTTTCAGCAATTGCCCTCAGAGGCACGGGTGGCTCTACAGCCCCTGGTGCTCAGTGGAGCAGGAGCTCCATCCTCCCGCAGATGTGCTGGGACCACAGCTGTGGCCTCCTGCTACTAAGAGACCAAAGAGAACCACAAACACTCCCTCCTCAAACCACCAAGATGCATGAAAAACTAAAGCCCAGAAGATGTAAGAGTCACTATAAAATTAAAGAAGCAAGATTTTTATCCTAGCAGTATACTCCCCTCAGCTGTAATGCTGGAGCAGCACTGCTTTCCCACACAGGGCTGTAGGAGAATTTAGGGAAAAAAATAGTTGGCACAAGGGTACAGCTGTATTACAGCCACCAGTTGCAGTACTGTAATGAAAAAAAAAAACACTCAACCATAAAGTGTTAAAATAGAAGGTATAAACTGACATAGCTGGCTTGAAAAACACAAACATTTATGTTTTTAACTCAGAAAAACCACTGTTAGCAAGTAACCAAGGACAGTTCCACCAGAGAAGTAATTCTTTTTCTTGCCAACCAAGCCAAAATGAGCAACGACCAAAACAGGGCAGGAAGAACTTAGCAGAGCAGGCAGAGCACTGCACGGACAGGGCTGGTCCCAGGCACTCCAGACAGGCAGAGTCCTGCGCCTGCAGATTTTGGGAGTGGAGTTGGAGCTTCCCCATCATGCTGACTTCCTGGCACTCCCGTTTGCAGGCACATCCTCCTGCCCTGGCCTCGAGGACCATATCCACAAGACCCACAGCCTGCCCAGCCACCCAAGCCCACTACTCACACCCTGACCTTTGGCCATCACCTCCCCGCTCACCCCCCATCTAGAGTTCTCGCCCGATTGGCCGGCCCCACGGCCAGGTGGGTCCCAGCTCTCCTGTTCTGCTGGCGAAGGCCCGTCCCTCCCCCTGGCCCCAGCTGCAGGAGCAGGCTCTGACTGCAACCCCTCCATCCCTCCTTCAGCCCTTCCCCTCGCTGGCAGGGCCAAAGGGAAAACCACCTGGGGGCTCCGTGCCTCGACTGCTCCCCCGGGGCCCGGCCGTCCCCCTTGACCTCCCCCGTGGTGCAGCCCCTGCTCACCCTTCCCTGCACCAGGGGACAGCTCAAGAGCCTCGGCGTTGGAGACGGGGACAGACCTGCCCACGGTGAGGGACAGCCCCAGGCTGGCCAGCTGCTCTGACCACAGCTGGACAGGCCAGATGTGGTCAGACCTGTGGTAACTGCTCAGCCACCAGCAGCTGTCTGAGGCCAGACTCATGGCTCTGGGATTACTGTGGCACACTTCCATTGTTTTGTTAGTGTTGCAGTGAGCGAGGTCCCCAGCTACGGGACTGAGCCTGGGGGCAGGCTGCAAGCAGCTCAGGTAAGTGGACAGGAGGGCTCCTTCCCCACAGGAGGTTTGGGATGGGAAAGCTGAGGCTCAACATTTGGTGCCCAGGAAGTACAAAAAACATGGAGAAGCTTGCACTGCTTCTGTTTCACCTCCCAATTGATTATTTACAGAAGAACACATTGCCAAGATATTCAAATATTAAAACACAGGCTGTGTGGTACTGATTTCTACACATTTGTCTTCTAAGGGTTAGTTTCAGTGTATGTAACTTCCATTATTGTCTCTCCTGAACCATCTCCTGGGAGAAAAGCTCACTTGTAGGAAGTTGAACAGGTTGCAGTTGATAGGATTTATTGTTTTCAACTACCCTCCTGATCAATAAGTATTTTACAGAATTACTGTGAAAATCAATGGGGAATGGTTAGAGACTTCTCTCTCGTTGGCACGTTAATACCTGTGATAGTTTGTGGGAGGCTTAGGGCAGCAGGTCTTGTGCTAAAAACAAAGCTGCTGCCCAGTCCCCTCCAGTTCTCAGACCACTGCTCAGACCCACAGGCTCCTGCACTCACCCTGGGACCTTCCCTTAGAACTGCTGGAAATCAACAGATGATTAGAAGGAGTCAACTCCAACGTGGTGCTTCCTTTTCAAACAAAAAACATCAAGTCAATCATAGTAAAACTCTTCAAATACATTTATTTGTCACCAATGAAAATACTATACAATCCCCAGGAAAGGGGTGGGGAAAGGCAATGGATTAAGACTGGCTCTCATCAATGTCTTTGTCTGGGTCCATCTCGGCAGCTTCGCTCTCCTGTTGCTGTTTCTTCCAGAGTTTAGCCATGGCAAGCAGTTTGAGATTAGGCTGATTGGCAGTATCTTCTGGGAAAATATAATCATAGTACTCCTCCCAGCCAGCATCAGACTAGGGAAAAAAATACCACAGAGCAAGTTTAATTTGCATGTTTCACATTAGCTATTAAAAGATGCTCCTAGTAACAGTGAGGTAAAATTAAAATCACTGTTTGTTTGTTACACCACAAGCAGGAGCTGAAAGCAACGTGCAGAATGAGAGCAGGGCAGTACCACTGCTGAAGAGCAGGGAGCTCAGCAGCATGTTGCAGACCCATGTTTTTTTTTCCATTACTGCAGTAAAACTGGTAGGCAGTTCAAGCACCCACCACAGCCAAGTTTTTGTGTCCCAGACCCCAGCACAGAGCCACCAGGGCTTCCAGGCAGCTACTTGTGTCATTTCTCCTCTTACCCCATCTTCAGCCTGCAGTTTTCTCCTCTTCTTTATTTTTTCAGGCATAAGTTTATCTATCCTCTCTTTAGTGGCATCTGTTCCAAACTCCTCCTCAAAGCTCCTCCAGGATTCCAGCAGCATGACTCTCTCCTCCTTCTCCTCACAGTTTCGCATGGCCTTATTAGCCTCTTCGTAAATCTGCCGGCACCTCGACAAGCTCTCCTCCCTTCCTGCAGACAGCTCAAACTGTGCAAAGCTGATCCATACCTGGGGGGAGGCAAACCAAAGCCAAGCTGAAACCTCCGTCCTCAACTCTGAGAGGTAAGGGACAGTTTATAAAAAGCAGAGGTCAGCGCCAGTCAAAAGGCCGTTTCAGAAGCAGGTATCTGGGAAGTTCACGCTCCTGCCACGTGTGCAAGGTGTGCCTCACTTTGGCAAGGCAGAAAAGTCACAGAAGCCACGCTGACCAATTCCTTGCAGTTGTTCTGGGTCATGACAACATCTGCATTTAGTCAAATGACTGCACCAAACTACACTGGAAAAAAATCACAACTGTTTTCTCCTTGCCATATTTTTGCCACTCAAATTCCAAAGCTCCTGAGCAGGCAGAGGGCTGCTTGGAAAGGCCTTGCTTCATGTAAGATACGTCTGCTCTGATATGTAAATTAGAAATATCCTTCCCCTCTTCACGGCAGAGGCCTGAACTGCAGTTTGCTGCTGGTTTGGAGAAGCCAGGCAGCAGCAGCAGCCAGGGGTCTCCATGCCCCTCCCGAGCAGCTCTGTGCCCTGGGCCACCACAGGTACCTTAACGTGCTGTGTCCGCTGAAGCAGCCTGCGGTACAGATTCCGTGTCTTCTCATACTCCTCTTGCTCTATTTCAAAGTCAATGTAGGATTTCCAAAGAACCTGCAAAAAAGAAGACTCTCCTTATGCTCATAGCACACCGAGAGAACAGGTGGGGGGAAGAAAAAAGGAAGAAAGAGGAAAAGCATGAATAAATGCAACATTTCCCTAAAAAAAAAAAAATTCCAGAGATCAGAGCATCTATAGACCGCACATCCAGGATCATGAGTAAGCAATATCCAATCTCACACGGTCCACTCAGCTTACTCCTGGGAGCCTGCTCCTCCCTCCACGTTCTATCATGGCTCTCACAGCCCTGCGTACCCTGCCAAGAAACAGATGCTCAGTTGATGAGACACAGGCTAAGCCACTGCGGTGAGCAGTCCCGTTCAAGCTGGCAGATGATTTCCACCCTAATTAGGCAGGCTGTGCACCAAAGCCCTCGGAGCTGTGCGGGCTGTAAGGCTCACCTGCCCCTTACCTCTGGCATGTCCAGCCGCGGCTGGCTAATGGCCAGCTCGTATATGGCACGGGCTCGGTCGATGTCCCCGAGGATGGTCTCCAGCTCAGCAAACTTGATCCAGGAGGTGCAGTTCTCTGGTGCAAACTCCAGGAACTTCTCATACAGCTTCCGGCAGCGATCGAATTCCCGCAGCTGTAACTCCAGCTCAATATAGCCTTTGAACAGTTTGTTTTTCGGGCATTTACCTATGGATGTCCCCTGTTAAGAAAAAAGAAGCGGACAAAAAAAAAGAAATACACTTAAAGATCTTGCAGGACTAAAACCCATTCTGTTTTCTAAACATCTGTTTATTCTCCACTATTTTATCTAAAATTCATTTTTAAGCAGTGTTTGTTTTTCAAGACTCTGGCAAGGGCCAGTGTAAATTCCAGCCAGTGTTTGCAGAACAGGCCTGCATCCACACACACCCACAAAAGCTCTAAAAGCAGAAAGCATTTTAACTTGTGACACTTCTATGCAACGTGGATTCCTCAAAGCATGCGCTGAAACTCACCCTGGCTCATGAACACTCCACCTTGCATCAAGCGTTTGCAGAAAGCACAGTACCAGTCCCCCATGTCAGCAGTTCCCCAAGTACCTCATAAAGCAAATTAGATCAAGAGAAACTGTCTCCTGGAGCAGCACAGCTGATCCTCACCACAGAGAGAACTGTCCACGCTCCCCACCTGCTGCCCGACGGCAAACGATGCTTTAAAAACATACCACCTGCTTGATAGGCTTCAGCATCTGAAGAAAACTGTCCTAAGTCACGGTGCCAAGCTGTGAGAAAGCAGCTTCTGATTCTTGAGTTGTGCCTCTTTTAAAGCACGAGCTGAGAATGGGCATATCTGGGACAGACAGAGAGAGCTCCCCTCTCTGAGTCACTTCTGTAGACAAGTAACATTACTTGTGAAGCATTGCAGCCTCGGCTCCCTCAAACCGATGGGAATTAAGTCACTTGAGATCAAAGTCCCCTACTACAAATTTTTCTGCACAGCCTTCCTACTCACTGTTCATCTTGGCACTAATTAAAAAATATGGAAGAAACCACCACATGGGAGTATCAATTTGGTCACCATTATGGCCCTCCAGCTCTGCAAATGTCTTTTCTATTTCAACATATGCTCAGCCCTTCCCCACACTATCTTCTTAACCAGCACATGCTCCAGCCATTCTCCTGTCTCCCAGCCCCAGCACCTCTCAGGCCCTGGGAAAACAAAGCATCCACACGCCACCTGCAGCCAGTGAAAATAAGGCAGAGCATGGCCCTGTCTGCACGCTGAGGAGAGCTCCAGCATCAAGGGCTGGACGTTCTCCTCTGCATGCTGACACGTGGGGACCTCGCCTTAGGACAGGAGCAAGGCTACTCCCCAAGGAGGTGGTTCAAAGTCAACCCACTGCTAAAGAAATTAACTGCTTGTCAAACTGTGTCCAGTCCAAAAACCAGTATTCTGGCTGCAGCAGCAAAAACTGGTTTCCAAAATAAAAAATGTGACCTACTTAAAAAAAAAAAACCCATCTGGCAAAGAAATTAAACAAGAACATCAAAAAAGATCAACAAAAGAGAAGCCTAAAAGAAACTGAGGACACTCACTATTTCTAGATGGGCCCAGGCACCCTTTTCAGAATCACCATAATGTTAGAAAAAGGCAGCCAGAAGCAGGGTGCTGACTGGTGACTGTGGTCATGTTGAGTGATGGTTTCACAAGCCAGGCTGAACAGCAGCAACGCTTCAGGACCTATGGTTGTCTTCTCCTGCAGGGAGACAGTAGCAGTATCCCAGAGGACTTAACTTCTCCACCTTTTTCTGGTCACGTGCAGGAGTCCAGCTCAAGAGACAAAGCTCTCCTAGCACCCTCGGGGCAGAACGGCTCCAGAGTCAGCTACAGAAGGCCCACTCTCATTTATGCTCTTCTCACTGCTGTGCCATGGTCTGGTGGAAGCCTCATTGGCTTCCTTTAAAGTCAAATCCAACATTAGCTTTCTCTGAAAATTTCTAATGTTATCACTGAGCTTATTCAGAATACCTGAACTGAAGGGAAAGGAAGTTTTTCATTCCAAAAGGCTCTGCTGCCAAAACATACTCCATTGATCCCTGAGATGCTGACATTCACACAGTGAATTCACACAGAAGCTCTTGAGCCTGCCCAAAGACCCCACAACTGCTTCTATCAGCAGCCTGGTAGCTGGGACTCAAAACACTCCATTCAGCAGGTCTTAATTTCTGAGAGGCAGACACTCCTACTGATTTGAAATGCTTTTTAAACTGCTATTGTTAGTACAAGTATCATTTAAACAAATCAGCAGCAGTTAAAAACTTCCAAGTGCACTAAGCTGATTTGGGTGCTCTTGCATTCAAACACGTGTTCTGCCAGCTGAGAGGAGAAAGCTGCATTCCTCCCTGCCTGTGGCTAACTCTCCATATCAAACTATTCTTCTTTTGAAATCATACACAAGACAAAGACCAGTCCCTGCAGACTTCCCAAACGCTTTCTTTAAGTGGATTAAACCAGCAGTTTATAAAGGACAGTTTAAGATCTTTCATGCCATTCCCTTGTTGCTGTTAAGTCAGTAAAGTCAATTATGGAACAACAAAAGCTTACCAAAGCTCTTCTGGCAAGTGGAAGATTCTTCTGGCGTATTTCAAATTGGGCATACAGCAACCAGATTTTGGCAAACGTAAACTGAAAAAAAAAGAACAAGGTGAGGCCAAGGCTAGAAGCTTAGTAAATAATGCTGTTCTTTAAAGAGAACAAACACACTGTCTGTATTTTCCCATTGAAAAGTTGAGAGTTCCTAACCCAAAACAACCTCTCTAGAACTAAACAATACACTTCATTATGGAGAAAAGTAAAAATAAGCAGGACCAGCCTTCTTAAAGGAAGAAAATGGTCCATTGACCAATTGCTTGGTAAAATATCAGCTACTGTGGAATCAATTAACAGCTAATCAACTCAAATTAATTAGAGATTAACCCTAATCTACACAGTTGATACTCAGATGACATAACAAATTAGAAAACGAAGTCCACAAACTAAGTTTTTTTGACATTCCAAGGTAATGCTGATTTATTGTTTGAAGGGCTTGGCCACGTGGATATTTTAGTTAAAGCTCACTGGCAAAAAAACCACAAACCCAAAAAATCAGTCTTAAAAATAGATTGTAATGAGGAATATACACCTGAAAAATGGTTTATCATATGCATCCCCCTCATCTGGGACCATGCAGAAAGTTATAGCAGTTGCTATAAAAGGTGGTTCCCACCTAAAGCAGAACCACAGGTTCTGCAGGGATAACAAGCAACTAGGCTGAGAGCACCTATAAGAGGACCATATTTTTGAGGTTCTTCCTTGAGGAAGAAAACAAGTAAGTAAAATAACAGTTAAGAGTTCTTCCCTGCTGTTTACTAGCACTGGACTATACCCTGACTTATGTCATATCAGTTTCTTAGAGTGTACTTCATAATTTAAAAATAGTAGAGGAACACTTGCATTGTGTGTGTGAGGAAATCTGACAGTAGTGTCAGTCTCTTTCCCACTGATAACATGTGTCACAGCCAGTTAACACCTTAGCTTGGAAAAAACAAACAAACAAAACCAAGCCTATCAATTTTAAAGAAAAAGATTATGAGAAAATGAAAGGAATCTCTGAAGTCCCAAGCAGAGTCTTCATGAATGTAGTAGTAGCCATTTTGAGCTGCTTATGTGCTGGAACTTGAGGGGAAAGGCAAGGGGAGACTCTCCTGCCAGGCACTGCAGAGCAGGCGTGGGTGCAGCCTGCTGGAGGCCATACCTTCTTGTGGGGCAGCAGCTCGATGCACGCCTGGTACACCTGCCGGGTCCGCTCCGCGTCCTGCAACGACAGCACGAGTGAACACTGCTCTCTGCTGAGGGGACACGCTCTGGGTTCTGCAGTGATTGCAACACTGAAGAACAGTGCTTTTAAATCAGGTTGTTTAGAACCATGCATACGTAAAGTATGAGTACCTGCTTAACATGCACAGCTCAAAGATGGAAACTTCTGGGAGTCAGTAAGGGCCAGCTTTCGAAAACAAGACTCGACACCAGGAATTAGACAGTGCAATCAGTAGCACCCCTGCTTTGGGGGGAAAAAGGTCTTTTCTCCCGTCACAGACATTTTCAAATGTACACTGCACTACAATTTTGTGAAATAAAGAGCAGCTACAACGTTGTGACTGATAACAGAAGAAATGCTTATGCAGCCTCAAAAGGCCACTACAGCGAGGCTCTGCTTCACAGAGCAGCTTCACAGCTTTGCTAAATAACTTTCACAAGCTCAGGTCCTAGAACAGACAGTTGAGCTGGGGTTAGAAAGTTATTTCTGCTTCTATTGTCAGTGCGTTTTTGGATTAATTGGAGTGAAACTGGCATATCTTGTTCCCCTGGCCATGGGAGGGGAAAAAAAATCCTACTTAAATAGCAAATCCTTGTAGCTAGCTACACAAAACAAGTAAGACATAGTATTTTTAGCTCTCAGTCTTCTTGTTAAATTACCTACCCCTATTTAATAGAAAGAAAATATTTGGACAGGAAGGAAAAAAATGAGTTCTTACTACTTGCCTTTGCCTCCAGCTCTTCATATAGTGCATAGTTAATCCAGAGATAGATGTATCTTTTCCAGTGCCTCTTCTCCTTGACTGGGGGCACGTTGGCAATGGCTCTTTCATACACTTCTCGGACTGTCTCCGCATCCGCATCGCTTTCGACTAACCTCAGGTAGTCAAACCATGCATCATAGTTATGTGGATTTGCCTTCCAGAGAAATGGGAAAGACACCTCAGTAACTACAACTAAGAGACCCTGTTCCTTTACCTTGTTTTTATTCAGAATTTCCCCTTCAAAATATCAGAGTATTAACAAGAAATGTCAGTCTCAGGTATGCTAAAGCTTTTGGGCTGAAGTGCATTTCTTTCTTTATTTTACCTACAAACATTCTTTAAGTGAAGGCAAACAAATGGGACTGTGAGAAGGGAAGAGGAAATGATAAAGTAGGCAGTACCCAGTGAATAGCAGGTAGGTGTGGCACGCCTGCTCCCCACACAGGTATTTACACAGAGGTGAGGAGTCCTGTGACAGTTACTGCACAGTAAGTTACAAACTAATCCCCCAAGATGACTGTGAAGGGTACTGAGCTCCGAGTTCAATTAAACTTTGGCTCCACGAGGTATGTTAGAATGCAGACACCAAAAAGCAATGAATGCAAGTATCATTCTCTCCCCCATGGAGGAATTCTGCCTCCAAAAAAGAACAGTGTTCTCTCGGCACTTTCTTGGCCTAGAGTAATGTAAAATTTCTGTCTAGCATGAGACATTCATGTACCTCAAGCAGCAGCTGGATGGAGGATGAGCCCAGAGGACAGTTGTGACACCTACCTTCACTTCTTCTTCATACTGGAATCTCCTCTTGCTGACTATGATGTCTTCAATTCCCCTTCTGTCTCCAAACTTCTTCTCAAAGATGGTGTAATTCTTGAAGAGATTTTGGGCATCCTGCTTTGGAATTCTATCCAAGGCGTACTTGTAGATCACCCTTACTCTTTCAAACTGAAAGTATTAAACATCACTTGAGTAATATTTACAAAGTGACTCCTGCCCTCCCCCACAATTCCTCAAGGAGATTTTGGCAATATTTGATGGAATACAAAATCATAGAATATCTCAATGTAAATGTCTGCTATAGGACAGGACTTACAGATCTCTCTGAAGAGTAAACTTTGGAGGGGGAAAAAAAAAAAAAAACAAACCAAGCATAAAATTCTGCAAATACTAAACCCCACCTTACTCATAGATTTGGAATATTTAGAATATTTTTACAAGGTCACGGTTCATAGAATGTTTTGGATTCCTAAATGGCACTTTTAAAGAGACTATCTGGGATAAACATGATTAGTTCAGGTTTTTTTGTATGACCTCTCAGACACTTAATGAATGTGAAAATATGTATTTGATCTGATGACACTATTTTCTGGCTTGGCAGACCTGGTGCCCCCTTTTCCTAGAATGTATTTCCTTGATATTGCCAAAAGGCAAATAGAGGCCAAGCAAAAAATTGTCTCTGTGACTCAGACTACAATAATAGCATCTTATAAGGTGCTGAAATACACAAGTACTGCAGTTAATGTTAAGTGGCCTTGAATTTGGTATCTGAAAAGAAATCTTGTGGAGATGGCTGACGTTGGTGTGACGTGTTATCAAGAAGGCCCTACCTCTTTCTGGTTCTCCTCAAATTTTGCAAAAGCCACATAGAGGTGCTCGTCCATGTGCTCCTCCCCGAAGAAGTCCACGGCCCGCTCGTACACCCTCCTGGCGTGGGCGAAGTAGCTGTGCCTCTCCTCGAAGCGCGCGTACTTGATCCAGTTCCTCACCTCGGGGTGCACCAGCACGAGTGCAGCTGTGTTAAAGAAACGTCCTGCCTGCACTGGGCTGCCCAGCTCTGCTCCTCCCGAAGGCCGCGGGGCCACGGGCTACAGGAAATGACTCCTGTGGGTGGCACGTGCAAGAAATGCAGTTGGGAAGAAGACAAAACTGCTTTAAGCACACACAGGCTTTGGGGCTTACTGAGAACCTGAAACTTTAAAAGGTATAAAAATCAGGCCAGGGTCAGGGAGAAGTTTGCCGAGATGTCTGGAACAAATGATAACTTCACCACTGTGGAAGCATGAGAGCTGTTAAATCTACACTGTTGTGGCAGGATGTATATTTACTTAGCTGAACTTGGAGGCATATACTACACATGCCTTTAACACCTCCTGGCGGCTCTTGGTGTGGTGGTGACTCCCAACACACTGCAGTAAACACGGGCACAGGGACATAGCTGGAGACAGAATAAGTAAGAGAAAAAGGAAGGATGCAGGCCCAAAGTAGAGCAGGTGTTGCAATGTACTAAAAAGGATATATCTCTCATAAATGGTGCGTGCCCTGTCCACCTCCTTGTATCTCAGCTCGAAGTTAATGTAGGAATGCCAGGCTTGCTCCTAATCCAGCGCTCAAACACCTGGCGTGACCCAGCCACGTTCCCCAGCATCTCTTCCATGTACGTGTATTTGTACCTTGGGAAACAAGACCAAGGCTTCACAGTCACTCAGGGAACACATAATTCACAAGGACATTTGTCAGTGCTTAAGACCATTGCTGAGGCTTCTTCACCTGCTGCCCACCCGCACCCAGAGAGGCCCCCAGGCGCCGCTGTGGCCGGCAGCACGCGGGCACACACACACACACACACACAC